AGACAGGATTTCACAGCTTTTAGCTTCATGCCAGTGCAGAAATCACAGGCCACATCTTCAGGTCCAGCATAGCAGTGATCAGCAGGAGCAGCTTGGAGTCCAGTCTTCTTCAGCTCCTCCACTAAAACTGCTAACATGGTGTTTTTCACCAGGACAGGCCTCGCTGTGAAAGTGTGTCTGCACTGAGGGCAGCTGTAGATTTTCTTCTCGTCCTCTCCATCCCAAAAGCCATTAATACAGTTCATGCAGTAGCTGTGTCCACAGGGAATAGTCACTGGATTCTTCAGCAGATCCAAACAGATCGAACAAGAGAAAGTTTCTTGGTCCAGCTGAACTCCTTTCTGCGCCATTTCTCCTCTCAGTGTCAGTGACTGTGTGAGTTTCACTTCCTTAAAAATGAAACTAGTCTGAGCTCTGATCTAAACAACATGTGCTGCTGCTGTGAATGTGGCCTGTGAGCTCTTACAGATTGCCACATGTTGCTTACACCCATCTACAAAGTGGAGATAAGAAGGGGAGGGAACAAGTGAACATGAGGACAGACAGGAGGTGCTGAGTCAGAGACCGGGGGGAGGGGCCTTATGGGGCAGTGACTCATTACAGGAAGCCAAGAGATGTGTGTTTAACACTTCTGCAGCTATGGCAGACAATTAAATACTCTGATGGCAGAATTTACAGTCTGATATGCTCTGATAACTTTAATTTAGTGCTGCTGAGCTTTGTGTGTTGTAAACTATTATCTATTGTTTGTGATAGCTTGTTGTTTCTTATAACATGTATGACTGTCAAGCTGACATTAATTGTCTTTTATTGGCATATACTTTGTTGTGCAGTCAGAAACCCTGACCAGGAGTCTTTGACTGAGGTTTCCTGCTTGTCTCTAAACACTGCATCAGTGTTTATGTCCAAAACTCTCAAAATGTCAGAAAATAATTATCTAGAAAGAATTTCACCCATATCTGTAAAATTAAAACAAATAGAAATAAAATGAGCAGATTTAAAAATGAAGAGAAAATCCCTTTATTGATTCATCTGGTGACACAGCTGATTAAACCTCAGTATGTCTATTTATAAAATGATTTGTACAGACATATAATCACTAAGTACTGTACAAATAACAGACAAGGGGCTGTGCTCTGAACCCATTCCTACACTCACTCTACACCCGTGACAGCTTGGGGTAAAAAAGAGCTAATAACATAACTGAGAGGTTTTCAGGATTGAGTTCACTTGCTGATGAGACAGCCCTGGAAAATTATTGCCAAAACAAGCATTTATGCCTGAATATCTCAGAAAGAAAGGAGGTTATTGTGAATTACATGAACGTGGAGGAGCATTCATCTGCCAGTACTCATGAATAACTCAACTGTGGAAACAGTGGACAGCTTTAAATACCTCCGAATACACAAAGACTTTATATGGGCTACTCATTAAACTGTTGTTAAAAAGAAAACCAACACCTTGGACCTGAAATTCTCAAAGGAACTTCAACTGCAACACAAGAGTGTGCTCTATATTTTTATGTTTATATATTACAGTTAGTCCTTGAGGTTAAGTGGCTTGAATCAGCCTTTGTTGTGATTTGGTACTATATAAATAAAATTGAATTGAATTTAAATTGAATTGAAAGTATTTCAGGTGTTTCGGGAAAAAAACTGAACAAAAAGTTATTTATAGTAAAAACCTTCACTTTGTTCACATGCTAAACATTAAAAACAATACATGAAGTTATCATTGATTGCAATTATCAAAGGTATAGGATTATAACATCTAAAGCTGGGAATACACTGTTTTTTCAGTCGCAGTATTCAGCTCCTGCTCAAACTGTACCACTGAATCGCAGGGGTTAGAAGTTCGTAGGTCATCGTTCTCACATTATACGCCCCGATGCGCCCTGCGTGCTCACAGTGTGCGTCCAAATTTTAGCTTGGTAACATTTCGTGTTACCAAAGGTTATATTATTTAGCTAATATATAACACAAAATCTGTCTCTCGCTCTCCTTCGCTGACACACACACACACACACACACACACACACACACACACACACACACACACACACACACA